AATAATGTTGCATATCTCGGACTCAAAAGATACATGCTTGAAAAGATTTTAAAAATTTTGGTGTATAATACAGAACCTCTCTTTTGTATCACTTTCATTTGGAGATAAAATTGACACATCACAACATTCACCTTTCTGAAGTGGTTTTAGTACACTGACAAGGTTGTACAATCATCACTATTATCTAGAAGTACTCCAGTAAGAAACTCCATATTCAATATCAGTCAGTCAACATCATTCCCTACCCTAGCCCTTGGCAACCATTAATCTATTTTCTGTCTCCGTGGATTTGCCTATTCTGGACTTTTCATATGAAAGGAATCACATATGATCTTTCATGTCTGGCTTCTTTCACTCAGAATGTTTCAAGGTTCATCCATGTTGTAGCATGTTATCAGTACTTCATTTCTTTTTACTGCTGAATATCCCACATTATACTGAGAGACCACATTTGTATACTCATTCATTAGTTGATGGACATTTGGACTGTTTTCAATTTTTGACTATTATAAATAATGCTGCTACGAATACTTGTGTATTAGCTTTTATATGACTATGTTTTCATTTCTTTTGGGTATAGACCTAGGAGTGGGATTATTGGGTCATATGGGAATTCTATGTTTAACTTTTTGAGGAAAAGCCAGTTTTCCAAAGCAGCTACACCATTTAACATCTTCACCAACAATGTATGAAGGTTCCAATTTCTCTACACCCTCACAAACATTTGTTATTGTCCTCTTTTTTTCCTTTAAATTTTTATTTTATTGTTGTTGAGAATATACACAGCAAAACACAGACCAATTCAACAGTTTATGTGTAATTTAATGACAGATTACATTTTTCAAGTTGTACAACCATTCCCATCCTCCTTTTCTTAGTTGCTCCTCATTAACATAAACTCACTGCCCGCCCCCAGCTTCATATCTAATCTTTCCAGTTGCTATTTTCAATTGAAACCCGTATGTAGATAGTTCTCAAAAAGCACAATACTCAAGATTTTTTTTATTTTTTAAACTAGTTAAGCTAAACTCTAATTTGGCTTTAAGATTTCAAGGGATATTTTTGTTTTACTGTTTAATTATCTTAAGGCAGTAGTTTCAGGGGCTCACCTACCCTCCCTGGCCCCAGAAAGTCTAGAGTCCATGAGAATTTGAAATTAAGTCCTGCATTTCCCCCCTTTTAATTAGGATTCTTCTATGGAATCTTTGACCAAAATGTTCAGTAATGATAGCTGGGCACCATCCAGTTCTTCTGGTCTCATGGCAAAGAAGGCAGTTGTTCATGAAGACAATTAACTATCCATTCCATATCCTCCTCCTGTTCTTGAATCTCCTTCTCCTTCTGATGTTCCAGGTGAACAGAGCCCAACTTATAACTTGGATGGCCACTTGTAAGCTTTTATGACCCCAGGTACTATGCAATCAACTAGGAAGTAGAACAAAAGCACTAAATAAGTTATTAAGCCAATTAATTGTGATGTCCCATAAAACCATGACCCTAAACCTCCAAACCAAGGAACAAAATCCCACGATATTTGGTTGTACAATTTTTTTGCAGGTGTACAACTTATTGACAGCAATTATAATAATCAACTGTTCAACTCTACCCTTAATCAGTCACCTTTTTTTATTATAGCCATATTTATGGGTATAAAGTGGGATCTTTTTCTTTTTAATTGTGGTAAATTCTTCTTATTTTATAAATTGTGGTAATTTCTTTTTATTTGGTTTTTTTTTTTTTGGTAACAAAGCATTCCTCATTTCAACAATCTCCACATGTACCGCTGAGTAACATTAAAAATATGTCCATTACGTTTTTCAACCATCACTACTAATCGCTGCCATTTTAATTTGCATTTTCCTGATAGAGCACCTTTTCTTATGCTTATTGGCTACTTGTATGTCTTATTTAGAGAACTCTCTATTCAAATACTTTGCTTATTTTCAAAATGGGTTATAGGTCCTCCGAGACTATGGCCCCTGGTCACCCTTCGGGCATGGAACTGAACTTACTCCCATGCTTTACTCTTCAGCCAAGTGATAAACAGGCCTACCAGGTGAACAATTACACTAGAGAGGGGCACTCCTTAGAAAAATAAACCATGGAGATCAGAAGTGTGCCAGGAAGCAAGCTCAGAAGGCAGGAATACATAGGAAAGAAGGACACGGGGAAAAGGTAAGCAGAGGGAGGAAGTGGGAAGAGAGCTGTTACACTACTGGGATTGTAATCAATGTTAGGAAACAAAATGTGTTAGGAACTGCTGAATGGAAAATAAATTTGCTCTGTAAACTTTCACCCAAATCACAACATAAATTTTTTTTAAAAAAAAGGTTATTAGTCTTTTTAGGGCTGAGTTCTATCACTTTAAAGTAGCTGTTATAATTTTTATTTTGCTTTTTTAAAAAATATATAATTTATGTAACATAAAGTCCACCGTTTTAATCTCTAGCACTTTTCTACAAAAGCAAATCAAACCAAAGCATTATGGGGACTCGATCATTAAATATATAAAAACACATCCTCCTATACAAAGATACTACTGAAGCACTATCAATTGAATAGGTGGTAGTTATTTTTCCAGTAAGCAATGGTATTTTAAAAATAGCTCTAGCTATACTCTTGTCCTTATGTCTTATGTCATAAGGATAACAGATAAGAGAGCCACCAAACAGAACATTCTTAATATATGTAGCAACAACTTACTCATGAAACTCAGTGTAATGTTCTGATTTAACTTCTCCACATTATCTGTAACAATTAAGGTGTAAACAAGATGGAAAATAGTGTTTAAGCCTATCTACAGGGAAGGAAATCCTGACTCCAGTATTTAGTTCTAAGTTTTTCAGCTCAGGCCGTCAAAATAGACCTGTTTTTGTGTAGCCAAAGCAACAAAAAACCAAACCCACTGCCATGGAATCGAGCTCGACTCACAGCGACCCTACGGGAAAGAATAGAACTGCCCCATAGGACTTTCAAGGCTGTAAATCTTTAGGGACGCAGACTGCCTCATCTTGCAGCTGCACAGCCTGGTGGGTCCAAGTGCGACCTTCTGGTTAGCAGCCAAATGCCTTAACCACTGCGTCACCAGTATCCTTTGTATTCCAGGCAAGATTTTTATAAGTTAATGCAGGAGGGGAAAAAAAGGTACTGCCGCTAAGCTGCTCGTTTTTAATTCCCAACTGCCATCTACAAAGAGTTCCAGAGCGTTAAGAGTTGTTAAACGGGCATCTGTTCCAGCCTTCGGAATTTGCAACGGCGTGCAGTCCTCCAACCATGTTAGCCATTTCACACTTGATAAAACGCCTTTTTATCATCAACCCTCAGCTCAACAGTAGTCATGTCTTCTCTGAAGGCTTCTCTCGGTTCGCAATAATTACAGAAAGCATACGGTTTATACTTTCACTCTTTGTCTGCAATCCCTCACCCGCCTGTGAGTACAAGGGCAGTCACTTCACTTTCTCACCAGAGGGCAGCCCAGTACAGAGCAGGCGTCTAGCACGTTTTTTCAGTGCGTAGGAATGAAAAGGGATCCGCCGTGAAAAATGCTTCAGTAGGAACAGCCCAGGTAACACATGGCTCTGAATCCAACAATTTTTAGTGGGAATACTTCTTCCACAGAGGATTCCCTTTCCCAAAGCCTACCACTCCACATACGCTCCCCAAAAAATTTCCCTGGGGGCTCCTGTTCCGCCCTCCTGCCGTTCCAACACCGCCTCAGAACTCACCGTCCAAGGCCTCTTCCGCAGCCGCCGCTATCTGGTCCTGCATTTCTCGCTGTATCATGGGGCTGAGGAGCTCATCCACCTTCTGTCTCATCTTAGCCAGCCCCACCAACAGGCCCTGGTAAGGGGCAGCACCGCCCGGCGCCTCACAAGACACCCGTAGTTGCTGCCGCTTCCCGTCCTGCCAGACAAACTCAGCGAAGAGCTCCATGGCGACCACCGAGCTTCTAGCGGACGCCACAGAAAAACATCACCCGGAAGCGGAAACTACACGCAGAGAGCGCGGGCGGGAGAAGGGAGAGGAGTGACTTCCGTTTGTCCGGAGTCGCTCCTCCCCCTTCCTTCCCTTCTCTTTTTGGGGATTGGTTCCCGGGACTCAGGCCCCGCCTCCTCCGGCTACGCCTCTGGCAGCCACTTTTCCCGCCTCCGCTGGGGCAGAGCCGTGGGGCGGGTGACAGTTGAGGATGGCTGGAGCTGAGAGCTCGGCAGGTCGGCAGTCGGAGCTGGAGCCCGTGGTATCCTTGGTCGACGTGCTTGAGGAGGACGAGGAGCTGGAGAATGAGGCGTGCGCTGTGCTGGGCGGCAGCGACTCGGAGAAGTGTTCCTATTCGCAGGTGGGCGCGCGGCCCGGGCCTCGATTTCCCCCCGGCTCCCGCTCAGTTGTTCCTCCCGGCCAGACTCTTAGTTCCTGCGCCTCTGTCGTCTCCCCTGGGCTGGTCCGGGGCCGCCGTGTGTCTTAGGCTTTCTCACTCCAGGCCCAGCTGCCCTTCTATCCTCCCTGGGCCCCTTCCTCACTCTATGTCCAGCCTTGCTCCTCCCTCAGTCTCCCTCCGTCCACCGTCCGGGGTTCTCCAGACTTGGCCCTGGAACGGCTGCTCAGTCCTTAATCCCCAGCCTCTTCGTGGTGGCCTGGCTGCTTCTCCGGAAACCGTCCCCGTGACCTTTCAAATCCAGACATCTTTGTTCTTAATCCCCCCATCCCAGGGATATTTATTAGGAACAGAACTATTAGATATTTTTAACTTTTTTTTTTTTTTTTTTT